CTCAAAATCCTCCGGTGAACTTTTTTTCTTCTTTACCGTTTACCTCAAACTTCTAACAGTCTAGGTGTAAAAAAAGAACCAAAAACGACCCCACCAGAAAAAAAAGCCTGACTAATTGTAATAACAAAAATGACTAACAAAGATGCACCAATCAGAAATGTTTATCGATGTCGATCAGTTCACATGATGCAGTGACCAATCAAATCACGTAAATTATCATCATTCAACAAATTTTTTTTGAAGTTTGAGTGAAGATATCTTGATGACCAACAAATCAGAATTTTAGAATTCAAATAAAAAAAGGTTTATCAAATTTGACTTGTTGGTTGTTAAAATATTGTTGCTCAAATTTTGAGAAGCTTTTGGTATAGCTTTATTTTGATAAACACTGAGTATTCTTAACACTTTAAGTGAAGGTATCTCATCAACCACCAAGTTAAATTCGATAAACTTTATTTTATTTAAATTATAAAATTTGTAGATTTCAAATAAAAAAAAATTTATTGAATTTGACTTGATAGTTGTTAAGATATCTTTGTTCAAATTATAGATGTTTTGAGTTTTCTTAAAATTTTAAGCAAAGTTATTTCAACAATTATTAAATTAAATTTGATGATCTTTTTTTTGTTTGAATTTTACAGATTCATAGAATTTAAATAAAAAAAATTATACAAATCTATATACAAACCTATCAAATGATATTAGCTTTGTATATACTTGAATTACAAACCTCATACAATAGAAACAACTTGCCTCTTCCAAAAGAATTCACTGATACCTTGATAAATCAGATTCTTCTAAACCATCTTAGAGCTTTATACCTTAAAGAAAAACTAAACAACTACAATATTTTTAGTGTAGAACAATTCTTAAACGCAACTAGTACTGAATTTTTAGAGTAGAATAATTTTTATCACAATATCAAGAAGATATCCAGAGGTCAACATCTATGTTGATTCTATATAATTTAAGATCTAATAGCAATCTCTACAAATTCTTCATCAGTACCTCTACAGCTAAACCTTTACATTCTAACTAATTAGATTTACAACAAAAAGGGCTAGATAATTACAAACAAGCTAGTTATTGGAAGAAAATATTTTTTCTCGCGTTAAAAATAAAAATTGTCTCTCAATTAATTCTTGTCCACTTAGATGTCCTAAATCTAGGGTTGATTTTTGTGGGGTCCGTTGCTTGATACTTGTCCTGGTCCACCAAAATTTAAGCAATAACACCGGCCAACTATATTATAGCAAAATTATCATTTGGGCAGCTTTACTTAGTGCATAGGTTGCCACTTTATTAGTAAAATTTTGTGTGATTTTAGAAAAAATTTATTAATTCCGGCCTATTCCGACCCAAATTCGGACCGATTTGCTGAATTTTGATGGACCCTCTAATCTACTCGTCGATCAAACACCCCAAGGCGTTCCTGTTGTAGAGTACGGACGCAGTATTTAGTTCATATGAATGTCAGAGGAGTTCCATTAACCTACCTTTCTTAAATTAGCTGAATTGTTTATGTTGGCGGTTAATTGTGTAGCCTAATTGCATGATCCGAAGAGTTAATTTGGAATTAAGTTTTTCATTTAACGCTAGCATTAGCCTTATAAATCAAGGTTACGGAGTCGGGCTGGGTCTTGGTACTGTTTCCGTGAAACTTTAACTTTTACAAAAATAAACAAACAAATTTGCTCATAAATGAAATGTACGATAGGCGTACTTTCCAAAATTATTTATTAATAATTTGATAATCAATTATATAGTCTATAATTTTACACTAAAAAAATTAAGATCTTATTTATATATTTTGACATCAAAATGAAAACTTGATTTAGGTGGTCCGTTTTATTTTAATATCGATATATTCAGGTATCCGTAATATATTGACGGACATCCGATAGCATTTCTGGAACATTATTTTAGATATTAAAAAAATTTGTTCGGACATGTTAAAGTTGCAAAAACAAAGATTAATTTGCTAAAATTGCATTTTGTTAATTGGTTGTTACGATATATAAATAATAAAAGTTTTGCATTCCTAAGAAAAGCATCGGTTTATATACGCCCATACAAATTCCTAGTCTTTATGGAGAATCTGAACGTATATATTCCGGAAGGGAATAATCCCCATCCTCCTATGCAGTATAATTATACACAGAGTACTCAAGAACAAAGTTATAATGATTATGACGATAGTTCCACTTCTATTTATGTAGAACATGAGCATGAGCAACCTAGACGATATGTTAATATAGATAATTTAGTGTTAGAATTGCCTATACCTGCAGATTTACTTGGAAACATCCCTAGAAATGATTTAAAAGAATTTACACATTTGAGATATACTGCATGTACAAGTGAACCTGACAATTTTGAGGAAAAAGGATTTACCCTTCGCCAAATAGAAACAAATCCTCCGAGGCAAACAGAATTATTTATTATGATACCTATGCGTAATGTAAGGAAATTAATCATATTATTTTTAATTCCGGAGATATTATAAATATACATATATATGTATCTGGCAATAGGAAGATAAAATTCTGTTATCCCGCACTTTTCATGGAGTCGTGAAAAATATAGCTCATCTTTGTGCTCGTAAAAGGTCTAAATTTTGGGTATACACGCGATTCATTATTGTTACAGTTATATAAAATTGTCTATAAATTTTAATATATTCTATTCGAAAATCTTTAAGGATAAAGATGGATGGAAGAGAATTGTTGTATGCGTAGTTGCAGATGGTCGTGAAAATATTGAGAAAAGTTCTTTAGCTTACTTAGCAGCTCTTGGTGTCTATCAAGATGTTGCAGTAGGAAAAGTAAAGAATGAAACCGTAAATGCACATATATTTGAGTATACAACACAGATTTCAATCGATCATTCTATGAATATTAAAACAGGAAAAGATTCGGAAGTTGTTCCAATCCAGACACTCTTTTGTCTTAAAGAGAAAGAAGCTAAAAAAATCAACTCTTATCGATGGTTTTTTAATGCCTTTTGTCCAGCTCTTAGACCTAATATATGTGTTCTTATTGATGTTGGTACTAAACCAGGTTAGAGAATATTCATTTCTTTTTATCTAATAGATCACTAGATTTATGAATTTAAGTAATTTCATTATTTTTTTTTAAAGGTCTTAGATCCATTTATAATCTATGGAAAGCATTTCATGTAGATCCAAATGTTGCAGGTGCTTGTGGCGAAATAGTTGTCGAAAAAGGTAAAGGTTGTATTAAATTATTGAATCCAATCGTGGCCGCCCAAAATTTTGAATATAAAATGACCAACATTCTGGATAAGCCATTTGAATCTGTGTTTGGATACATTACTACTTTACCTGAGGCCTTTTCTGCATATCGGTATATTGCTCTACAGAATACTATCAATGATAAGGGGGAGATCGAAGGTCCTCTGGCATCTTATTTTAAAGATGAAATTAGTGATGTGAAGAAAGAGAGAAACATTTTCTCTGCTAATATGTATCTTGCTAGAGATCGTATTCTTTGTTTGGAATTGGTTACTAAACGTGGATGTTCTTGGTTATTACATTACGTTAAATCATCCAAGGCTGAAACCAATGTACCTAAAGATTTTTCTGGGCTAATTAACCAGCGAATACGTTGGTTAAACGGATCATTTTTTGCTAGTTTTTATGCCATCGTACATTTTTATTATATTTGGAGAAGTAGTCACTCTTTTGGTCGTAAGCTACTTTTGCTTATAGCAGTGTTATTTCAGGCATATAAATTTGTTTTCTCATGGTTTTCCTTGGTGAATATGAATTATTTACTATTTGGGGGGTGCCAGTAGAAACCAAGCAATTTGTTTCTAAGTAAATTTTTTTTTCAACTTTGAACTAAAATATCTCAACAATTATTAAACCAAACTTGATAAAAATCTTTTTATTTTAATTCTATATAGTTATAGAATTAAAATAAAAAAAATTTTATCAAGTTTGGTTTAATAGTTGTTGATATATTTTAATTTAAAATTTTAAAAAAACACACTAAAAACAAATTGCTTGGTTTCTACTGGCACCCCCCATTTATCTATTTATGATAATATTAATAATTTGATATCCATATCCCCTTATTAACTTTTTCTAGGGAAATTTTTATTTGATATTCTATATTTTGGGTAATGCTTTTTCAAATCCTCGAAAAATAGTAATTCCTGCTCCCTGGAGTCAATATGTTGGAACCAAAATATTCTTGGCTTTACAATATGCATTTCCTGGACTAATAATTGTGCAATTCATATTGGCCTTAATGTATAGATTTCAAAGGTAGATGGCTTTTTATTTTTATTTATTTTATTTTTTTTTATCATTTTATGTCTTGTTTAAAAAAAATCTACATTTTTGAATCAATAACTACCTAATAGTTCTAGATCTATCCGCATCTTAGCGATATTATTTGGCTTGATTATGATCTATATTTTACTTTCTGCTTTTTGGATCTCAATTAATGAGGTTGTGAATTTACTTAGAATAAATTCAGAGAACTATAGTATATCTTTTCTTAATGATCATACTTTTAGAGACATTACCTTTTCTTTAGTCTTAACATATGTTTTATACTTGATTACGAGTTTTATAATGTTTGATCCATGGCATATGTTTACTTGTCTTTTTCAATATATACTATTAATACCACTTTATGTTATTATCTTGAATATTTATTCTTTTTGTAATCTTCATCATGCCAGGTAATGTAAATTGAAGTTTTTTTTAACCCATTATAATACTAATCCGTTTACTCTAATTTATAGTTGGAGAAAGCGAGATGATGCTGAGGATGAAGAAAAGAAATTAGAGAAAACTGTTAATCATGGATCTCCTCATGACGTAAACTCTGTATATAGAGATGCCATTAGAGCAATAAGGCGGCAATCTTTTAGAGAAAGATCCATAACACAAGATAAATACGAAAATCCTCGAAGAGATTTTCAATCGATAATGATTATGCTTTTCTGGTTGCTTAGCAATGCTGCATTGGTAGCTGTTATCATAATTTTTGGTAGCGAATCAGCAAAGGATATTTATATAGCAGTTATCCTTTGGTCTATTGCTGGGTTTGCTGCTTTTAAAGTTTTTGGTACTTTAAAATATTTAATGCTTAGATTATTTAAAGATTCAATTGTACACAATTGTAAACAACGGTTGTAAATTTTCTTGCTATAAACTTGTATACATAATAATGTATCACAATATAAGTATATATGTTGTGACAACTACCCAACAAAATTACTATGTAATTTTTACTATCACGAAAATAAGCGAATTTTGATTTGGTGTAACGTTACGCGATCAGAAAATTCAATCTGCTTGAAAAGAATTTTGTCGGATCACGTGACGGTTTGCGAGACCAGATTAACACTTGCGTCAGTTTCTATCTATGGCGAATTTGATTTTTTAAAACATTGTTGATTATGACGCTGATGGATGAAGCTAAAATTACTGTATATTATATAATTGGGTAATTTCAACTTCAGTGTCGTCATGAATTTTTTATTCATATGCCATCGGTTTGTGTTACAAAGATCAAAAAGTCAGAAGATCTATAATCATGATCATAACTATATCATTATGATCAATATCGGTGACGATAGTTTAAAACATGTAAAATCACTTTAAAAGCAATATAAATCTGATTTAAAACATTTTGTTTTAAATCATTTGCCATCCCTACTGGGGATGGTGGTGGGGGTAGTTAATACAAGGAATTTGTTTTATTAATACCCGAAAGGTGGTTTCATAATCGATTTTTTAAAGAAAGCAATAATTTTGCGTTACATCTGATCGTGTAATCTGATTGGCTTTCTTATGTGATTTTATCAAATCGTACCATACTGATCTGCTTAATTGTCACTCCCCCTAGAATTTAGGGTTAGCTCTGCCCGAAATTATGCTTAATGCCGGCCGGTTTTTATTGGGTGTGACAATTAAGCAAAACAGTATGGTACGATTTGATAAAATTACATCCGATCTGCTCACCCATACCATACTGATCTGCTATAATCCCCCCTAAACCCTAACTTAACTACAAAAAAAAAAGCTAAAAAAAACATCCCCCAAAAATTTTAAATTTTCATATTGAAATAAGTCAATGTTTCAGCATCATCCCCGACAAATTATAATAGGACGTAAATTCGCTACGTAGATCACGTTATGGTGAAATCCGCGTTTAGCTATGTTTTTATTATGCTAAAGCGAATTTCACCCTCATGTAATCTACGTAGCAGATTTTACTAATTCACAACGCGGATTTCACCCTGTCGTATTATAATTATTATAAGATATCTTGAAAAAAATAATTAATTAATTAAATCTAATAAATTTAAGTAAAATTCTTCATGAAAATTACGTATTTTTAGAAAAATAAAAATAAAAAATGATGGAAGCTGTTTGAGTAAAAAAGAACTTTATTTCAAAATTCAAATGGTTAGAAAAACCATTATATTATAAACTCATACAAAATAATTAATAGACAAACCAATATTATCCTATAATGAACTATTTAAAATCTCAAAAAGGTCGATTATAAAAAGCTTCTCTAGTCGGCGTAACTTCAGGCGTAGGGTATTTCTTGATGTTGCCTATAATATAATATATATCAGTAAGGTTATTAGTTTGATATTAAAAAATTTACGTAAATCAATTTCGCAGGAAATTTAAAGAAGAAAGCATAGTTATGAACAAGATTGACTATATAAAATTAACATGTATTACCTTGTAATCCAACATTTTCAGTACCAATAAGATCATGAATTACATGATCTATACTCTTGAAATATTTAACAGTTTTAACGTGCAACTCAAGAGTAGCGTCCTCATCACAAACAATAAGGCCTTTAGGGTGTAACTGAATCGCTGAGACAGTCCACTATATGTAAAAAAGTAATTTAATTTTAACATTTAAAAATTAGAGCATAAAAGAGGTGTTTATCTACGTACCATATGATTAATACCTACACCAAGATAGCAATTAAAATTATAAACTTTCAAAGAATTGATCGAGTTACAAATTTAAATTGTTTACCTTCTTCAACACATTTCGCTAAAGCTAGAGCTTTGTGAGCTCCTGTGATGATGATAGCAACTTCACGAGAATCCATTACGGTACTGATCACGTGACGACTTTAGCACGTGAAACAATCATTCTTATTAAATTTGAAATAAAACTCACCCCACACCAACAGTTAAAGCCATTCTTGGAACTTTACTAATATCACCATCAAAAAATCGAGAATTTGCCAGAATAGTTTCATAGGCTAAGGTTTTAACACGAGTTCTTGAGGTCAACGAAGATCCGGGTTCATTAAAGGCAATATGGCCATCGGGACCGATTCCTGCATTACGCGAACATTTTGTGTCAGCTACATTAACATCAAATTTCCAAAACAAATAATATGAGACTTACCTCCTAAAAATAGTTCAACACCACCGAAAGACTTAATTTTTTCTTCATATTGCCTGCATTCCTCTTCAAGATCATCAGCATTACCATCGAGAATATGGACATTTTGAGGAAGAATGTCAATATGTTTAAAGAGATGATGCCACATGAAAGAATGATAACTTTCAGGATGATCTCTGATATAATTAAAAGGTGCATAGAGTTATAAAGTTATTATTATTATTATTATTATAAAGATTTACGATAATTAATTTGTACAAAAACTACCTCGGTAAGCCAACATATTCATCCATGTTAAACGTAACAACATTCTTGAAACTTAGTTGTCCATTTTGATGATACTTGACCAAATTTTTGTAAACACCGACGGGAGAAGAACCAGTAGGTAGTCCAAGAACGAAGGGACGGTCAGAGGTTGGATTAAATTCTATGATACGATTCCTGATATATGATGCTTTTTATAAAGGTATTGATATTTAATGAAAAAATAAATTATAAAATTTTAATTTTTTTTTGCATCAATCAAAAATCTTAGAATAACGATGATTTTGAATATCTTACCCATATACTCAGAAACTTGATCATAATCTTGACGAATAATAAGACGCATTTTATTTATTACTATTCTTTTTTTTTTTCTTTTTTCTTTTTTTTTTTGTAAAGGATAAGTTTTTAATACAATTCTCTAATTATTAACAAGTGCTTTTATAAACAAAAATTAATAAAAAAAAAACTTTAGTTAAAACCGATTTATGGCAATTGATGAATGTGATGATTACTAAATTTAAACAGATAAACATGTAATCACCATAATGTCATGATCTCGTGAACGTTCTTAGTACACATGTTTTAAGGATTGGGCGTTGGTCATTTCTCTTAAATTACCGGTTTAAACTAATTGTAGTGTTCTGCGCCTTTTAACTTAATGATTCTTGTTAAAAATTGATTTCAATTGATCCGTATCGGTATGAAAGATAAATTTAATACTGAGTATGGTGATAGAAATTCATAGTATTCAATCTTGATAGTTATTGAAATATTTTTCACTCATAACGAATTAAAAAGAGAAACAATTATTATAACTTTTACGGAAGAACTTTTTTTAAAAAGAACTAATCGTTAACTTTATAAAGCTGTATAAGTTACCAATTATTTTAAAAAAAATTTCCTGCAAGAGTTCTTAATCAGCAGTTTATATAAATTTTATTGATCAAGAGAAAAATTGAAATATTTCACATCCATTCGATATAAAAACTATAAAAAAGCATCTGCATTGCAAATTTTTATTGTCAAAAAATGAATCATGACTCCTTCTTCAATTCCTGATCGATACTTAATAGATTAGGCCATACAAAGTTAATTGTTTGGTTCTCATAACATAAAATGTAAAAAATGACCCGGCAACCCGGCTTTTAATTTTATTTTCAAAAAATTTTATATATAAAAAACATGTAAAATTTTTTTACAGGTTTCTGAAAAAACCAACCCGGATAGTAAAATATAGTCAAAATTTTTCTTCAAGGGTCTACAAATTTTGACCCGGCCGGGTTATGAGAACCAATTTATTAAGTTTGTATGGCCTTACCTATTATTCCTCCGTCAATTCAATCGTTATGTCAAGTGACTATACCTGCCGTTTTTATACCGTTCATAATTATATCAATCTGTCTTTCATTGTGTGACATTGTAACTGGAATTTATGGTAAAAGAAACAATCCACCTAAGGTTATTCTTATAACTGGGGCAAGGTAATAAATATATAACCTGTTTAATTGAATAATATTACGTAATATGCGAGATAATTTTGTAATTGTCACGATTAGATTAATCATTAAATTCGGATTTAATTGTTAAATCCGGATTTATTGTTAAATCCGGATTTATTGTTAAATCCGGATATAATTATATGATACGGATTTAACAATGATATCTGTATTATCGCGAGTGGACAGAGGTAATATGGCTGCGTATTTAAATCCGGATCTTACAATTAAATCTGGATTTAACAATAAATCCGGATCTAATAATTAAATCCGGATTTAATGATTAAATCCGGATTCAAATATTAACTCTAGTCACGATACGTGATGTCGGTAAAATATTAATAGTATTGATATTGTTCAATTCAGTTCTGGAATTGGTGCCGCTATCGCGCTAGAGTATGCAAAGCCTGGTGTAACTTTAGGGCTTCTAGGACGTAATGAAGGTTCGTAACAAATAAATAACGATATTTAAAATAGTTTGGATTTTTAAAATCTATACTATTTGAATCTTAGAACGGTTAAATCAAATATTTCAACGATGCAAAGACAAGGGTGCAGAATGTGTGATGTTAAAAGTAGATATTTCAAACACGATGGCTTTAATTAAAATGTTGGAATATTTCGACAATGAGCATCCAATAGATCTTTTATTCGCTAATGCTGGTAAGATTCTAATTGCTTTCCAACTTTAATATCCAATATTAATATGCAGACTATAAATTTATTTTTTCATAGCTCAAGTTGGAGTTACTCGAGATGATAGTGATGCTGTAGAATGGGAAGATGCATGGAAACGATTAATTGAAGTTAATTATATGGGCAATATCTGTACTGTAATGACAGTTTACAAAAAGATGAAAGAGCGAAATTTCGGACAAATTGCAAGTGAGTTATCACGTACATACATACATATGTATCTGATGAATTCACCACTTTGAAAATACATAATTAAATGGTTTTTCTTTACTCTGTCATTTTAATACAACTAGTCATGTCTTCAGCTGTTGGTTTCTTCGGACCGCCAAATATGTGTTGGTATAATTCTACAAAATGCACACTTAATTCATTCGCACGAGATTTAAGATTTATCGCTGAACCATATAATATTCGTGTCTCCCTTGTTACACCTGGTTTAATTGCTTCAAACATGACTACGAACCCTGATCAACCAGTAGCTTTCACAAAATCCAGTCTTGCAAATCCTAATGAGCTAGCGAAAGTTATCAAGAAGCAATTAGAATCTAATGTTTTTTGTATTGCTTGGCCGTTTTTTCAAGTGCTGTTAGCTTGGGTAGGATCAACCTATCCACCTAGGGTTTTGTTAATGGTTTCGTGGGCATTCGGAAATTTATTTCAAACACGTGCAAATGATCTGGCATTGACTTGATTTATTGGTTGAATTATCAATTTTGAACTATAACGTATTTTAAAACGCACAATTTAAAGAGTGCTAATAATTAATTTAGCCAAATATTTTTCGCATTTGGTTAAATTAATTTTAAATTCCTTTAAGTTATGCATCTCAAAATAACGCCCTGGGCGTTGTTCGAGTTGATATAATATGTCAGAGATACGTAATCTTAAGTAGTGATAACAATGGCCAACATTGGTAATATGATAATCCAAACTCACCATCTCCAGAACTCAATAAATATATATACGTATGAGAAAAAAACATTTATTTACGTGACACATCAAATAATTTTTAATCACCGCAGAAATTGAAATCAACATATAAAAGTGTTTGATTCGTGTTATTTTTAAGTATAAAATATTATTTTATATCTGAACAAAACTTTATGAATATTCCTGCACCAAATGTTAACTATCTTTATTCAACATTCATCAGATTCTATTAAGTATCAGTAAATTCACAATCTATAAATCTTACAAGTGATGACAGATCATTCCCAAGAATCATATCCATGCAGTTATTTGGTCAAATGGGTTGTACAATTACCGAAATCACTACTTCTATTGTTATTAAAAATTGTTACCAACATCGAAGTGGATGCTAATGTGAATAGCACAATTTCATCGAAAGTTATTACAGATTTGCCTCCCAAACAATCCACTGCCCGATCTTCATGCCCCGTTAGAGTTGATATGAAATTCGGTCCGGACTAAACTTAATAATAGTACAATTGTCTAGAAAAATTTAGTAAACTTTACTAATCCGCACAAAATATGCCATGCATCGTAGTCTTTGCTGATTCAATAGGTCTGAACAGAATCAAAAAAAAAATGAAAATGAGATGACCGAAAGGTATTTCAATTGCAAAAAAGTAATGCTTCAGTACAAATAAATTCGTTTTGGTATTATCAAATCATCTAGAGCCTAGAATGTAACGATGGATACTATATATTAAATTTGACGTTAACTCTTATAAAATGGTCTTATTTTCTCATATCTCTTGTATGTTGTTTAAGGACATGAAAAGAAACCAATTTGACTTTTATTTAGAAGTTAAATTATGAATACGAATTTTTAAATAAAATCTAATACAGGCTATCTTTCATATTAATATACTAGTTTCAAGGGTCTGAATTTATGAATGATCATTTTTGATACACTGTATTATAATGTGATAAAATGAATTAAATGATATTTCTCAATTTTATATTGACTTTTATATTATAAATTTTATATTATCCTTTAAACCGTTGCATCATTTTTAAACATTCCAGAATAAAATGCACATTTTGTAATACACATTAAAAGTTAGTACCTACATTTTATACTAAATATAAAGGAAAAGTAAGTTTAATAGGAATTGCATTGTTAGTACCTCATCTTAATTCAAAAAACACTTTAGCAACAGAAAAATAAAAGTACAAGCTGGCTTAGAACAAAATTACTTATCTAAGCACAAGCAAGGTTCAGGGGATATATGATGTCTCGGTTGAAACGCTGCTTTTGAAAAAGTGGCAATTATTAAAACACCCAGAGGAAAATAACTTTATTTGATTATAGACATATAAAAAGCCTTTGGAAATGACAGACAGCTGTCAAAATCTATGCAAAAGTCCAAAGTCTGTTATGTAAGAGTCAATTTAGAGCACTAGCAGAACACTGATTATCAATACGTAATGTTGCAATTCATTAGAACCCTAGCCAAGCGGAAAACGAAGTGTCGGGTCATGTGACTTCCGAAGCATTCGATCTGATATTTAAAAA